ATTGCAATCGATTATGATTGCATGAAAAGTTGTTGTCTATGACGCGCTCATACACTTCAAACTGATGCAAATCAATTCTCATTCTTTTCGGACGTGTTGTATTCGCTCTCATCGCTATCACATGCGAATACCGTTCTATTGATCAGTTTTTCTCATTCACTTCGTCTCATTTCACTTTACAGTTCGGATCAAATTCTTATTCTATTGCATATACTATTTACTGGATACGTTAACGAGTGTTGACAAACGAAATCAACAATACAGCAATATCAACAACGTCCGATTGTCAAATGACCAATTACAGAGTGTGTTTGATAGAATGAGAATTTGACTATAATTATTCAGTGAAATGAATGAGAAATTAGCAGAAGAGAACACTTTTGGTGATAAAAGTTATGAGAGCGATTGTAACAGCAAGGAAAAGAATGAAAACCTTGCGAAAACAAATGAAAACCCTTTTAGACATAACAACTGCGCAAAATGCTAATTTCCTGAGCCCCTTCATTACCCTTGGCACCTCCAAATGACCCAAAATGGGTAATTTCACTCCTTATGCGAACCACTGCGCTAAATGTTGACTATCTTTACATATACTGATGTGTTACCGGTCCCAAGAATACAGATGCAACAGCGTTGAGAGATTCAGCTGCAGTTGTACCCATTGAGTACTGCAAACAGATGGCCATCTTCAGCAGAAACCATTGCACTACACCCAAATAGTAGAATGTTGAACATAACGATGCGAAGAAAATAATAATGGGCAATGACTGAAATCAGTTTCATCATCACCCGATGAGTTAATAGTTCATGTTCGCTAATTCGATCAATGTCAACCTAATATATAAGAATTTGCATATCCACTTCCTACTGCATCGGAAATTCATCAGTTCGACCAATTTTAACACGCAATATCTGGAAATTGGACTATGAAAGCAATAGTAAATTAGCAAATAGTGCTAATTCTAACAATATGGATTTTAAACGTACCGTAAAGGAGAATGGTCCCTCTATACCGCAGATATTCGGTGGCCTCGGAACGAAACCGAATACAAACGTTGTACCATTACTGGTGTAATCAAGGAATCGAACTAACTGCTCTGTTGCCCACTGAAACGCGATTTGACCTGCTGACCACTTCAGCACAACGAATCCGGCTACATATTGCAATAAAATACCCCACAACACCGGACTCCATTTCACCTGAAACAAGTATCTGGTGTTGTATTTGTGTTGAATATAGTGCAGAAGAACCCTTATACTCACCCAAAAATTTTTGTAGTTACTAGATGCATCACGAGAATGTTATCTTACTAAACATGAGTTGTTTTATCCAACGAATCGTCGTGAAACGAAAGAAATTTTGTGCCTTTATTTTTCAACTATATAATTTGCTGAACTACATTTTAGGTGCCTCATCTGAGCAGAATTTCTAGCTTTGCAATTCTATCTCAATGAAGTGCAATGGAGAAATGGGTTTGCTGGAATTATTTGAAAAGCACTCACCCTTGCTGGATTGTTGGAAAGTAAAACTGATATGAACACAAGTAGTAACAACGATGCGAGTGATATCAAACGAACTCGATCGACAATACATCCGTACAAAACATATGCGAACAGTCCCAAACCGACGGCAATACTCAGAACCAAACGTAACCGAAACCAATTGATTTTCATCGTCAAATGTTTAAGCTTATCAAGAATTGACTGCGGAGTGAAATGCATGACCATTTGCATGAGTATAACCATCCAGCAAATGCCGATCATGACAAGTAGAGGTATGGCTTTTTGAAAGTCATGAACAATACTGAATATCAGATAGACATTGAAGAAGACAAAGATGGAACTGAGGCATGTCAATTTTAGAAATGTGGCATTCATATGAAACCATTGATTAGTCGATTGAAGGAGTTTTGCTGGAGAAAGCATTGCTGCCGAATGGTCATGTGGTGAATGAATATTGCAGAGTGACGAGCTGAAATACGAGTAATTGAATTGTTAAAATTTGCAATCACTTCAATAACATTTAAAACAATCAGCTTTTCAATGAATGCTAAATACGTTGAACTACAACAAAACGCATATTGTTGCATACCTTTCGAATACATTTATGAGTGTTCATACGAATTCAATGATAAGAAACGGCATGCATAACATTTTTCGACCTTGTAAATGCATAAAGATAACAATGGAACATAACCATTAAAGTCCCATAAAACGTTGAAGAAAACTCACTTCGAAAGTACGAATCAACTATACAGCAAACATGAAACTAAAGTTTGCATTGAGATATGCTCCTGTTAGTGCCCAATAAGACGACGAAGGATATTTAATATGCAATTGCGGCTGATGACATTTTGGAGCTAAGAGAAATAAGAACCACCCGAAATATGATCACCTACACTTTAAAACGTTTCTTGAGCATTTGAACTGTTTTGAGCAGAGAATCTGTCGAAAAACTGCGGAATGCTCATAAAATTCACTTGCGCATTTTATAGTTAATCAATGTTGACAATTAAATTGAGACGTTTCAAATGGCTAAATTTATGCATTGTGACAAGCTGTCATGTCCTACCATTTCTTACAAACTTTGACACAACGCAGGAGATTGGAATTTCACCATTTCAGCGAAAAATCACTTTCAAAAGTGATATCACGGCTTGAGAATGAAAATTTTCTCCACTACTCACGAGCGATATGAAAGCACCCAATCGTCTTGAGAGTGATCAATAGTTGGTTCGAAAAAAGTCATTGAAAATGATGACAGCAGCTGAATTCAATCGAAACAATTTATTCAAATTGAACATGTTGGTAGTATGATAGACAAAGATACATTATGGTTGATGAGAAAATCTTAATTGCATTATGATGGTTCCACATCTAGCACTGTTATTTGTTGATTGCTGATACTGGAACAACCTCGAAATTCACTGACGTTTCTGACTGCGATCGAAATCATTGTGACTGAAATATCGGAAACGAACAGACATGTTACGTCTACAATATCGTCTTAATCCATAAAAAGTGACGTTCTGTATTATTATTAGTATCCAACACCACATTTTTCGATAATTATTTTCCAGCGCTCTCTGAACATCAGTATCGATCCATTTCGAACTTATCACTCACAGAAAAGAATAGCGGTCAAACTTATCAAAACGATAAGCATAATTTAGAATTATTCTGATCGTCTCAGTTTCATTCTATCGCACGACTCGACAGAAGCTACACTTTTAGATTTGAGAAAACTGCACTAAGATTCCTAATCGCACTCCAATGACTCACCTCCGTGCTATTCGATTCGGATCCCTTGTCTTGATCATTTCCCTTCTTTTTATTACCTTTGCCATTGTCATCGTAACGTTCAATGGACTCTGAATCGCTATCATCACTTTTTTGGCTTTTTTCACTTCTCAGAGTTTTGATCTGAAATTTCAATCAAAAAATGAAATTGGTGTGATCAAAACGAATCGCCAATTTGAGTTGACCGTACATTAATGGAATGTTTTGAATCTCGAAAAATGAGCTAACATTTGTTTGACTGGGCGTTGGCTCTCCTACACGCTTGCTGAGATCCGGTACAGGAGTGGTTGGCTTGCCGGGTTCACACGCAACCGGAGGGCAAACTCGGGCAGAAGCAGAATTTGTTGGTAATGGAGCTCGTAATTGTTGGAATGATATCTAAATTTTGCATTCACTCAATTAGTTCAAACACTAAAAACACTGAAAGGCACCTGTATCAAAATGAGAATGATCTGAAAAGAGTTATCCGGCCAATCCTTAATAAATAAATCTTCTTCAACACGATTACATTGTAAAACTAGTAAAATCAGGCAAACGATAACGTAACGACTCACGTTCAAATTCTCGTCAAGACAAACAACCGCAGCAGCGTTATTGAATAGTCCAGCATAATTTGGTGCCGAAAATACGGTTATCAACATTCTTCCGGTCATTATTTCGTAGCCATCTTGGACAGCCTTAATTAAGTGTTTGCTCGATTGGCGATGCACTGGCGTTGAAGTAAACTTTTCGCTGGAAACTTCCAAAACAGAACGATGAAAGCAGCTGACCTGATGAGCACGAATGACCAAATCGATGTTGAGTCGCTTGCAAGTGGCTGTTACGACGTCCTTTCCAAACACATAACTTATACCTCTCGGTGAATAGAACCAACCTGTACCTTTATTCGTCGGATCGGCCCATAATAAATCTGTCACCGCTCCTTTTGCCTTCAAACGAAATTATTGTATTATTGATATACGTCTACAGCAGTGGTTCTCATAGGGATGAAATTACCCATTTTGGGTAATTTGAAGGTGTCAGGGGGTAATGGAGGGGTCGGGAAATTAGAATTTCGTGCAAACGTTATTTTATGATAGAACGCCATTGTGATGGTGTTATTCCTCTCAGATATTTAAATGTGGTTAGCTGATGA